AGATGGCCAGAAAGCATCTACGTGGAGGCAATGCAGCAATTGTATGTCCCCAAACTTGTCAGACGAATTAAACCCCCTAGGTGCATGTTCTTCTGTAATAGGATTTGCCAAGGACGGAAGCTTAGTTAAATGCACCTTCCTTACGTCAAGCACCAATGCATCAACTCAGACCATACATTAACGAGATATTTCTATAATTTAGATTTCTGGTTTTAAAAACTTCTTATTATTTAAACTCGATTTCGCTGGCTACTTTCAAACAGCTTTCATAGTTGCAATGATGCTTGCGTGTTAAAGGAAACAAATGTATGTGATTATTTGTTATCAGGCATTCACTGCTTTAGTAAAAGTCAAAATCTCTATTTCTCTGTATTCTCTTCATATTAGCTGACAAGGTTCCGTATTCTTTTGCAAAATCAACGTTTGAAAGGGGCATATTCCTGTGTAACAATGCTGGCAGGTAATACCACACGACAATCCAACCAAAAACTGCCTTTAACTGGGTTCCTTCCACACCAAGTGCGCGCTTGACAAACCAACCGAGAGAACCAATTCAGGCACTAAACACATCCAAAATGCATCCAAATACGAGTATAGATTCATGATTTGGTTGGACAGAGTATGTTAGTATCTGAAATGAACAAGATTAGAACTTAGGAATTGGCAAATATATGTTTATGTATTTTAGGCCTGAAATTTCACCCTGTGGTGGTCAATGTGATTCACACATGGTAGATGGTTTTCACCACATTGCATAAGCACAATTAACTCACTTTGGCTAAAGAATGGAATAAAATGCCTCATCTTGGGTCTAAAAAGCTGCATTACGAATACGTTGGAATGTTGAAGTAATTAAAACCACAAAAGCAGGTCTTAAATGCACCATGACAACTGAATATGGAAAAGAATAAAAATGACCTAAATAACCCCATGTATTTCATTTCTTTCCATCGGCGTAATTGGTTAGATTAGCAAGGAATCTTACAATAAAGAATCAAAGAACTGGACTTCGGCGAAAGAGTCTGTCAATCAAAACGGAAGCAGTGACACCTCCATAATTGTCACTTCACAGTCAACCAACTATAAGTTAGTAGCGATTGGCCCAAGTTAAAGTTGAAAATGCGACCTAGCAACGCACCTCCGAGACAACCACATCACAGTCCAGCCCACGATTCACGCAGCGCAGCGAGCCCTTCACGCCTACCAGACAGCGCTCTTTTCCGTGGTTAAGCCAGCAGCTAGTACAGCCTGTGTGGATGAGACGTTGTAGCTGGTTAGTTTTCACTCAAATCACCTCGTCCACACGCTCGTAGCCCCAGAGATATGATTACATCAAGTTCATCCAACCAGTTAAAACTAATTGGAAAATACTTGTTATGGGGTGGAACATTTTTTGCCTATGAATGGTCAAACGTTGCTCCAGATTACTAGAATCAGGCCGAATCAGAGAACAGGCGTCGATTTGGCGTCACGGCATGACCAAAAAATTGACATGAAGAGATAAATAGCGGTACTTAGCATAAAATCTTTTGAGGCAGCCAACAAGCCGCATTACAAGTAAGTGTATTCAACAAGAACTGATTAGCAATCTGTTACTGGGCAGTTAAGCCTGAGGAAATGAGACAATCCTTCTATAAGATCATACTGGATGACAAACTAGTCACTAGCCTAGTATTAAGAAAAAGTTATTGTTTGAAGCGGATAAAACTAACCAAATATTGTTCGCTAAACATCTAATTTAGGTACTGAATTCCCTTCCGTTGATTGGGAGGTCCAGAACAGGACGCTGAATAGATTTTAAAATAATGATATAGTAGGATTGTCGATAATGTTACCAAAGTATAGGCAGGAAGGTTAATTTAACAAAGAATCAAATTCGTCAAGTTTTTTGTCTTATTCGCCCTTGTGGTACATCATGAATTAATTTTATAAACCAAAGGCTTCCTGACACAGGGTTGAATGTGTTGAAATACGTCATGACCCATCGATTTGGACCATTTCTATAAGGAAAAAATAGTATTCTAAAATTGTTTTTTGTACCACAGATGACGTTAGTCCTCCTTATCATCCTTAATGGATGAGCGGAAGAACGAGCTCCCCGTGGGAAGGAAGGATGAAAGCAGAGGATGTCGCCCATGCAAAGATGGATACTTTGTAGTAAAGTAGTTCAGATTTGATTTTATATTCAACAACGTAAACCCTTTAATGTGTCATGGAGCATTGTACAACACTTATGCCACTAGTCTACACCCTTTAATCCTTTTTAGCGCCTCCTTAGATAACTTAAGTCCAAGTACGGCCGAAGGATGAGGTATATGCAAGTCAGTTCCTGTCTAGACAGAGCGTGTCCATTCCACAAAATCCATGTTAAACTAATTTTCCGCCTTTAATTTTAGTAAAGAGCTAATCAGCTAGCTAGCTGGCAAAAGCATACCTTCTTTATTATTCTAAACGTGTTCTCAAGTGACGCATTTTAAATGTGGTCACGCGGAAAGATAACGCACACAACATCATAGCTGTACATGGGGACAGCAGGATGGGTCAAGTCATTTGACATTCTCGTGCCTGGCAGGCTGTTTTCCTTGCATTCCCCTTCAATGCTCTCGCAAACATCTCTTTGAGGAAATATATTTGCTTTTCTACTGCAGCTAACAGAACCAAAATCAATTCCTGCACTCCACTCATTAGATTTATGGTCGAAAATTGGTGGATGCTGACTGGTAGGAAGACAGTAATAGTCGGCAGCGGCACTTCCTCACAGAAATGAAATAGTCGGTGCACTATACCTGAGGTAGAGCTACCCAGTCTTTCTGTAAGCCTTTCAAGTACTTAAAGGAAAGGCAAACTCTCAGTTGCTCATTACAAATGTATGGCTTTATGAAATATCCCACCACAAATGCATTAATCATCCGCTTTTACATCTATAAAGTATTTTGCCGAGGAAACGAAATGAATAAGCAGTGGACTTAGACTAGTTAAGGTGGACATTTCTGCGACAGGCGAATGCCAACGGTTGCAACTTTGTTGCAATTGTGATTTGTACTCCTGCCATGTAGCGTAACTGCATAGACATGCATACAGACACCCATAGTGAACCACTCAAAGCGCCGTGATTTATAAACATTAGATTTATAAACATTAGAGCAATGCATATAAGCAGAATAAGTAATAGTTCGCGAAGTAGATAAGCTGCCAGTTAGAAACTGAATGCACCACCTGTTCTCGAAGCGCCCTCTTTAAGGTATGATTTTTGTGCGTGGAAGACCTCGTCCTCATGGAGAAAACAGGTGAATCGACATCCTCACAGTAAAGGTGGCAGGCGCTTATGAAAAATAAACACCCAATAAAGCCTTAAACTGTTACCTGTTCCCAGATTGTATAGTCGATTTCCTCTGCTTGCAGTTGGAGAAAAGTCTGCTATTGCCATGAAAAGAGCACGCATTTAACTTGCTAGCTGCCATGACGCACTGTGATACAGCAGAAATCGTCTGGGATTTATGCATTAGAGTTAGTCTTTTTGGGGAGGTAAGCAGAGAGCAAGATTTGATTAAACAGTTAAGACGAACCTAGTCTTAAATGGACTTCCATTTGGTGTGGAGTTGCATCAGGAAAATATAACCTCAATAAAATCCAAAATGCATGGGATCAAATCAAAAATGTATTATCCCACCATTCCTTTTCATCAGAAATCCAACCTTACCAAACTGCTCACTCATAAAAGACCTAAGTAAGCAGAAACATAAAACTGAGAAAAACAACTTGAAGTTTGTGATTATTGGAATGCATTGCAGGTATTCGGCACTGTGACTGGAAGAAAATGTGAATAGTGCAATTTGGCATTGGCTAAGCAGTGCCGGTTGCAAATTCCCACGGGCAGGATTAGTATTCTGTTATCTTCCTGTAAAAGCCAACTCCATCAAAAATCAGCAAAAATGTTTGATGACCTGTAAGCTAATTTGAAAAAGCCGTCTGTATATGGATTTCCAACTCCTCGTTCACTTGTACTGGATAGAGACTAGGTCTGGCAGATTTATAACGCTAAAAGTCAGACGAACAAGTTTTGCCTCAGTTTAAATTTCCTAAACAGCAGCTGTCTTTATGATGCACCATGAGAACAGTTTAAAACTGTGTTGACTTAGCAAAATATTGGGCAATATGTGAGATTTTCAATATACTGGGTGAAATCCATGGGTTAAGTTTCCTTCCTTTCTTTGCGAGATAGCTTCCAACTCACAGTTTCCGCCTCCACCTAAGTTACAATGAGGAGCTTCGATTAGGAATTGGATCCATTTGCGATGCAGAGAAGAGATAGTG